ATAGATTATGATATTGAAATAGGGACAAGGAGGAGTCCTATACACTCATAGGTATATGGGTGGGTTGGGGTTTTTAGTCAAGAATATTGACTATTACTATTTCCCCAAGTTAAACGGTGATCCACGGATCGGATATTTTCCAAGTATATATATATATATATATATATATATATATATATAGAGAGAGAGAGAGAGAGAGAGAGAGAGAGAGAGGAATGTTCAGGTCCGAACATTCCTGGCCCGAACACCGTCCGAACATGGACGTTTGGGGCCCTTCCCGGTGGAATTGTTTGATGAAATTTTTTGAGCATGTTCCTCATCAAGTCTAGTTTGTCCATATCAAATCTCAGCTCAAAATTCGATCGGGAAGGCATTCAAATGATTTTTTGAAGTTGACTGCGTCAAAATATACATGTAAAAAACGCAGTCAACTTCAAAAAAATGATTTGAATGCCTTCCCGATCGAATTTTGAGCTGAAATTTGGTATGGACAAACTAGACTTGAATCACTTGATGATGAACATGCTCAAAAAATTTTATCAAAAAATTCCACCGAGAAGGGCCCCAAACGGGGATGTTCGGACAGAGGATCCTGTCCGAACGTTCGGACATGATCATTCTTGTATATATACACACACACACACACACACACACACACACTAATGAGTATTTTATAACTCGGGGGGAAAGAACTATTTATATAAGTATCACCCTATGTTTGGGTCTTATACTTGAAACGCTAGTTATTCTATATTTAGCCTGCTACTCGCTCGGTACTTGTACTGACCCCTTCGGGGGCCCCCACCATTTTCAGGTTGAAGCTAGGGCTTGCTACCTGCACCTTTCTACGGGTGACATCAAATCAAGGGAGACGTGGTTCGTGCTTCCTCATTTTCTTTCAAATTACCAAACATTGCTCATGGATATTTTTATTTGTTATAAACCAATTTTGGGCTTGCATGCCTATGTTATTGGCCGAATGTGGCTTACGAGTTACCGCTGAATATTTCCGCTATTCAATGGTTTAATGGTGATGTTGTTATGTATGTTTACTACTGAGTATGGATGGATTGTTTTCTCGAACGCTTTGTATGATTAAGTGAGGTTGACCCGCGGGTGACGTCACTTGATTATACGGCAGTTGTACACGCGCTTAGATTGCGGTATGGGGCGTGACATTAACTTTTACACATTTCATACATTTATTATGACAAGGTTAGCTAATACGACATATTTGTATTTAATTTGTTATGCTTTCTACTATACTTGTATGAAAAGATATTTGACGATAATAATAACAAACTGCATTTAATTTTTTCACATGATTCATTTGAATAGAATTGTGAATACTACAACATTTGCATCACAGACTCATTTAGTTTTCTCTGAATATTTTATGTGATATTATAAATGCTAATCAACTATAAATTTATTTTTTTTGAGAAGTGGAACTTTTTCTAGTGATTGAAAAGATGTTAGAAATTTTAATTTACTAGTATGTGTGTCTGTGCACTGCACGTTAAAATATGTGTGTAAAGGAGAATTCAATTAGACTATGTAATGAGCCGTCAAAATGAGTCAAAGTCCACAAAGCTAACCCATTTCATCGCACTTCATCCCATTTCATGACGGGTTAGATCCGTTATCATTTTTTATCTCGATGTACTCATCGGTTTCGTGGGTCAACCTGCACGGGTTGCAGGTTAAGTGAGTTGACACACGCAGATTGTTAGTTGTCCAAAATACAAATATCTAGTTTTGAGTTTCATTTTCTTGAATATTGATTATTTACTACATGTTGAGGTTAAGTCTTAACGGTCCAAAAGCCTAAAACGGTCATTTGGGCTTCCATGGGATCTTTTACTGATCATTGCATTTGGTGTATTAATTAAGGTAATATGAAGGCAAAAGCAATAGCAAAGGATGAGAGGTAAAGTGCGCCAAGTTCTATTACAAATTTATCGAGCCCGAATCCTGACCCCCTATTCTACATTATTGAGCTATGACAGAAAACCTAGAGAGAACTCTAAGTTATACTCCGTGGTATGCAAGTTTATCAACCCTTACAATGAAATAAATGATAGTGTTTATAGTACAATGTTGTAGGTGTAGGTGCTGAGCCCTCACTAGATAGCTCCCAGCCATAAAATTCTTCATATCTAGTGCATGGAATGCGCTTCCCGCTAATTCTAGCCTTTCCATCGACTGCTTTGGAAGCTCTCCGACATACAACCAGCACTATCCGAGAAAATACCAACCATCAAAATATTATCGACCGAAGGATCCCGTGGGGAAAGTGGGCCCACATGCTAGTTAGGCCTGTGGGGGTTATCTGGGTTTAGACCCAATACCCCAACACTACCAACATTATTTTCAAATATACTTATTATTTTACAACCTTTTTTGAACTGTTATTTGTATAATAGTTATTCAAATACGTTTCTGCAACACATTTTTATGTTATCGTTGAAAATAATTTTTTAATAATTAATAATCATTGTCGACAAACATTGAACCAAAAGATCTAATTGTATCTTTTTTGTACAATAAGTGATTTTGCTAGATACTATTTAATAGTTATCAAATTTTAATATAACTGATTTAATAATATTTTTAATTAAACTTATCAAGCATTTTTAAATTATAACAACACATGACAATAGAGGAAACTATATATGATATACTGATATAGTATAATATTGGAATATACTACGTATAAGGGTGAAGTTTTTGAAGTTGGATAACTTTTCATTTATGATGTGACCACATGTCACATTTTTCTTACAAAGATGTTGACACATGTCAATAATTCACCCAAAAAGTTATTCAAAAGTTGACTTTCTTATATTATATAGATACATAGTAATATTTTGTTATTTCTTTCTCTATCTTTTATTTTCTTTTACATTTTATTTAAATAATACATAAAAGAAGTTGAGATGAACTAGTACTTTCGTTTTTTAATTCTAAAATATAGAATTTGATCAAATAAAATAATAAACATAAGAAACTGAATCAAATCAAACTAAATTAAACCTGATAATTTTCATTTTGGTAAATCAAATTTCAAACCGAACTGAATCGAAACCAAACCAGAAAGTCATGCTAATGCGAATTGGCCACCCCCGACACAATCGGCAAATTATACCGTGGGATTGGCATACCATGCTCATGGTACACCGATCCCAATACGGTGACGTTTTTCTTTGATCACCACGGTCTCACGGTCTCTTACTCCCCCAGCCCACCATCTTTCTTTCGTTCTTTTTTTTTTTTACTTTTTATCAAAAGCTAACAATCATTGAGTCCACTATTTTCGAATGGTTTTTTTTTTCTAATTCATGACCAGTGGAACGTATTAAGAGTATTATAATTTTCTAATCCAATTTTTATCATTTCAAAATAAATTAATTACTATTTTTCTATCTTAGTCATTAGTCATACACTTCTTTCTATTTTCTTTCTTCAAATGAAATTACAATAATATTTATTTTTTATGTGATGTTTTTTTGTATTTATACATTTCTTTCATAATATATTTTTAATATTCACACTTTTTTCTATAATATATTTCTTATCTCTTTTATATGTTGTTAGTTTTTTGAAACATTACATTAAATTTGTTTATTTTGATTTAAATTTGATAAAATATGAAATTAGCTTTTCATATGTGTGGTTTATATGTTCATAAAATATCTCTTGGGAATTATAATTAATTGAGCAATTATACTCCTTGTTTTCATTATTTATATTTGAAGGATTTGATCTTTTTTTTACTCATGTTTTTTTTACTCCAGGGGGGCTGGGGGGGGGGGGGGGGGGGGGAGCCTGGAGTAATCAGGGCTGAAACTCACTTCATTGAGTTTCAAACCCTTGTGTGCCTTGCGGGATTCGAACTCGAGACCTCCCACTAGGCACGGTAACCTCGCAACCAGCTAGGCTGGAGTGCTTGATTGAATAATTTGATCATATATGGAATTACATCTTCACATGCACGGGTTACACCTCTTATGTGTGTGTTACATATTTCTATATGAGAGTTACATTTTCCATAACACGAGTTACATCACAAAATAAACTCTTGCTATTGAAACAAAAAATCAATTTTTTGCAAACAAAAAAGATCTTGTTTGCAAAAAAATGAATTTTTGACAAAAAAAATATTTTCATTTAAAACAGTTTTTATGGCCTTAATACTAAAAACAAAACATATAAATTGTTTACTTTAATTAATTGAGCAATTAGACTCCTTATTTTCATTGTTTACATGTGACAATATATGAAGTTACATCTTCTTATGTGTGAGTTACATCTTTTTTACGCGTGAGTTACATCTTCCTATACGTGTGTTATATTTGGATTGTCTTAACAAATTACATTTTGCATACATCTAACTTAAATTTTTCATCAACGCAATTTACATTTGTCATAACATGTGTTACATCACAAAATAAACCCCTGCAAAGAAAATTTCTTTTTTTTTTTTGCAAAAAATAAGATATTTTTAGTAAAACAATCACTTTTTTGTAAGAAATGATTTTTAGCAAAAAAAAAAAGTAAACAACATTTTTATGGTCTTAATATTGAAAACAAAATATATTCACTATTTAGGTAAAATAATTGAGCAATTACACTCATTATTTTCATTGAAATCAATATTTTATTTCTTATTATCCGTATTAGACAAGTTACATTTTGACTTGCCTGCAGTTACATTTTTCATCTGCGTGAGTTACATTTTTTATACGCGAGTTACATCATTTTGCTCCTGGACAATGAAAAAACAAAAAAAAAAGTTACTGTTCATGCGCGTGAACAGTAACACGCGAATTTTTAAGGTGGGAGCAGCATGCTCACCATGGGTTGCTCCCACGGTATAACAACTAGACACAATCAGCCAATAAATAGGCAACCCCACAGTATGTCGACGTGCATATAGCCGACATGGCAAAAGCTATAACTTCGTACGTACAAAAGGTTGTGTCCGATACATGTTTGTGCCTTGAATAAATTCTCTACAATTAAGCAGTAATCCGTATTATTCTTTGAAGGCAGTATATAAATAGTTCTACCCTCAGCGCGTTTACCTTCCAACAGAAACTGGAAAGAAATTTTACTCCAGCAATAATAATACTTACCAGTAATAAATTTAGGCAAATATAATAATAATACAGGAGTCAGAGCACAGTAGTTAATTACTCGCATCATAATCATTCCCGGCCGATAAAAAAGAAAAGTAATAAAGAAAAAGAAGGGAGAGAGAAAGAGAGAGGAATAGGAAATGGCGAAGAAAATAGCAGCAGCACTAGTAGCAGCACCTCCTCCTCTTCATCCTTCTTGGGTCTTCATAACTTTCTCCTTCCTCTTCTCCTCTCTGTCTCTCTAGACTATCCCAGATCTGAAAAGCTCTGTCTCTTTCTTTCTCTGCTCATCCGCTCACAGAAGTAGAGGAACAAGAAATGAATGGGTTGCTTCCAGGGGAGAAAAATGGTACATCTTCTATCTCATAGCTCTGTCTGTTTATTGTTTATGCAAAACCTGATTGATGGTCACTTGCAGGATTTAGTGCTTCTGAATCCTGGTTTCCTTTTCTGTGGATATTTGTGCTTTACTGTAGTGTTTTGTATTCGAACTGTCCAGATTAATTTATGACTTTAGACAAGGAATCTTCTTTTTTTCTTGTATGGTAATCCTTGATTAAATAGTTAATTTGCCTGTTCTTGACTTCTTGTTGTTTTGATATTTTTCTAATTTTGCATGCTTTCTTTTATTAGGTAGGACTTATTTCAGTTATTTATAGACACCCCTATACTAGAAATCTTTGATTTCTTTTCTAGCTCAGTTCATCTTTATGAGGGTGGGGTTGAGTTAGATAATTTAGATTGTGTGTTCTGGGCAGTTGGAATGGTTTCTGAGGGAAAAAATGAATGAGTCAGAGAGAATGTTTACTTTAAAAAAGGAATCTTTTATTACTCTTTCTTGATTCTGTAGAGTTATTTACAACCTTTTTTTTAATTTAAAATCATAGTTTGGGTAGCTAGAAGGTTTCACCAACCATATATGCTTTCTTGAATCTGAGTTCTGAAAAATCCTGGCATAGACGTCAGGTTTTCCTTTCCTTAATTTCCCTTTTGCTTCTTTGCAACCAAAACAACATTTTCTTCCATCATCATAAAGCTCCTTTTCCAGCATAAATAGAAGCTATTTCTCTGAAATTTTACTTATATTAGTATAACATGTGATTAAATATCTATTGTCTGGTTATCATTTTCTATCAGTTGGGTCAAGAGATGAAATGATGTGCTATTAATTAGAGTTCTTGAAATTTGAAAAACAGATTATACACCCACCACCATCATGAGCACAAATCATTTGATGGTTGAGACTGAGGACACATTTTCAAGTTTACTTGAACTTGCTGCCAACAATAACATAGAGGGCATTAAAAGATGGATTGACCGTGACCCGTCCAGCATTGATGAAGTCGGGCAGTGGTACGGGCGGCAGAAGGGCTCAAAGCAAATGGTTTTAGATCACAGAACTGCTTTGATGGTTGCAGCAACTTATGGCAGTATAGATGCTCTAATCTTGATCCTATCCTTGCCAGAAGTCGATGTGAACCGGACATGTGGACGTGATAAGAGCACCGCTCTACACTGTGCTGCCTCTGGTGGATCTCTACATGCTCTAGATGCCATCAAACTGCTTTTAGAATCAGGAGCTGACCCGAAGTTGGTAGATGGTAATGGGTACCGCCCACTTGATGTCGTTTTTGTGCCCCCAACATTCCGATCAATGAAACCGTCCATCCAGAACCTTCTAAATGGGCTAACAGTCGATTCTCCTCTTCCAGACTCAACAACATCATCATCATCACCAGAGAGTGAGAATCTTAACCCGAAGAAAGAATACCCGGTCGACCCATCTCTGCCAGACATTAAAAATGGCATCTTTTCAACAGACGAGTTCAGGATGTTCTCATTCAAGATCAGACCGTGCTCGCGTGCGTATTCACATGATTGGACCGAATGCCCATTTGTCCATCCAGGCGAGAATGCCCGACGAAGAGACCCTAGGAAGTACCACTATAGCTGTGTTCCATGCCCTGAGTTCCGCAAGGGGGCTTGCCGGAGGGGTGACATGTGTGAATATGCTCATGGAGTTTTCGAATGTTGGCTCCACCCAGCCCAATACCGGACCCGCCTTTGCAAAGATGGCACCTTGTGTAACCGAAGAGTTTGTTTCTTTGCGCACGCACAAGAGGAGCTAAGGCCTTTGTACGTCTCAACGGGGTCCGGCATGGGATCTCCTTCCTCTCCTTTCACCCCTCCCATGTCTCCGTCCAACAACAGCCTCTCTAACATGGGCTGGCCCATGCAAAATGTTCCCACATTGCTTCTTCCTGGAAGCAATAATTTCCAGTCTAGCCGGTTGAGGTCCTCTTTCCATGCGAGAGACATCCTTGGTGATCAAGATTTTAACCGGTCAGGATGTTCGAAAACCATGACTCCTTCAAATCTTGAAGATCTTTTCTCTGCAGAGAGTTCATCCCCTAGATACTCTTCTCCGACACATAAATCAGCGGTTTTCAATCAATTCCAGCAGCAGCAGCAGCCGAGCGTGTTATCTCCAATCAACACTAAGTTTTCACCAGACAACCCTTCGCTTTTGGCGGCATCTTTTGGAGCTCCTTCTCCACGGGTCATAGACCCCATTTCACCTTTGAGTTCCCGGGTGTCGCTACTTGCCCGATGTGAGAAGCAGCAGCAGTTTAGGAGCCTCAGCTCACGCGACCTTGGGTCAAGCGCTTCTAGTGCTTGGTCAAAGTGGGGTCTGCCTTCAGAAGAGAAGCCAGGCTGGGCTTTCAATACAGAGGAGTTTGGGGGCAAGCTTAGGAGATCGTCGTCATTTGAGCTGGCAAACAATAATGGCGGTGATGAGCCTGATCTATCATGGGTTCAATCTCTTGTCAAAGAATCTCCCCAAGAAATGAAAGCAGCTGGAGGTTCTGATGAAAACAATTCAGGTGAGGGATCATCGTTGAATCCTCAGATGGAGCAAATTGATCAATCTACATTGCATGCGTGGCTGGAGCAGATGCATCTTGATCAGCTCATGGCTCAGTAAACTCACACAGTCACACACACATATACACACATTTCATCCCTGCTTTTTAGATGTTGGCATTGAAAGAGCTAACAGGTGGCCTGAAACATGGGAAGAAATTTATTATTTTATTTTAGATAATCATTATTTTTATTAATTGAAGAAAATAACTGGGTTATCTCGGAAAAGAAACCCGGTTTGAGGCAATTCTTTTCTCCCAATATTTTTAATTATATGGTAGGTATGATTAGAGAACCATATCTCATTTTTATGAAACCAGATGTCATATTTGTGAACTATATGAGACATTGGCATAACGTTATTTGGGAGTTGATGAAATGTTTAACTTCTTGAGCTTTCCCACTGTTAGGTTGGGAGTCTTTGGCATCATGGAGCTCACCAGTTTGGTACTGTATAATGTATATGATTTTAGCTTTACACATGGAAAAGGAAAATAAAATAATAAAGGATACAATATATACAATGTGAGTGGGCTTCTAACAAGGGAATAAATAGTTAGTATTGATGTAACATTTCAAGTAATTAGTTAGTATTGATATAATATGTGGATGCTTTAATTCTAAATAAACTTGAATACCCTTGTCATGCTTTATCCTAGAAAGAATTTCATATCAAGATCATGATCTCTTCTCTCTTTATTCACACTTTTTTTTTGAAAGGTCTTTATTCACACTTAATAAAGAAAGTAAAGAATATTCAGTCACGGTCACATGTAATAAAGGTTAATTTGTAAAAACAATTCTGAAGGTGTAAAATAATGATCCATGAAAACACATGACTTTTTTTGTGTTTATACGATTGATCATATAGTAACACATCTTATAAAAGCTCTCCATGAAAACACATGACTTTTTTTTTAAAAGAAACAGAACTTTATTAAAAATGAAGTGAAAGAAGTTACAATGAAACAAAGAAAAAGAAAAAAAAAAAGAAATATTGAAAGGAAATCAAACAAAAAGATAAAAGATAAAACGTATCATTAAACCCCAATCCAAAGAATGACGATAAATCCCTCCTTAAAAACAACTTCAAAGTTACACTCGTTTGAGACCTAGTACTCATAAGTTGTGATCATTGATTCTTTTTTTTGTACATTCCCTTATGTGTGTTCAGATTTTGAGTAGACAAACAATTTTCTTGTGTAACACATTACTATTATAAAAGAATTTGTCGATTGGTAGAGGAAACTCAGAGATAAAAAAATGTCTTGGTACAACACGTACATAATTTGGTATTGAATAAAAGAACTAGGAAAGTGTTTGGATTTGCTTTTTGAAATTGCTTTTACTCTTTCAGTGAGCACAAACAAAAATGGAAGTGTTTGGGTAAAATTGCAGAAATGTTTTTGAGTGTTCAAAATTGCTCTTAGGTGCAGTTTCTAAAAACTGATTCTGATTCTACTTATTAAAAAAACAAAATCAATTCTAAACGTCCCCTAATACTCCGTGATATGTAGTACTGTAATTTAGAAGCATATGAATATTATCAAATTTGTTATGAAATAATAGCAGGATGAAATGTGAATCTATTTGAGCTTTTGAAACAATGGATACAGAAGAAGCAATAAACAAGTTTATTTTCTTGGTAAAGTTGGCTTTGAGCCTTTGAGTGGATTCATGAACATGGCATGGGAACCCTACATTTGAGTGGAATTCCAAATATCAAAAGATGGATTTGGGGTTCGTGGAGGATGTTGACAAGCGGATGAGGACTGGGAGAAAGCGATATGAACTCATTTGGATTCTACCTATCTCATTGGGATCAGATGCTAGGTGGTTTTTTTATGGCAAAGAAACAGAGAATTTTGGTGGGAATACTAGTCAATTCACATCTTCCTTTCCCCAAAAACGACTTCAAATGCTTATTCTTGACTTTTATACTTTTACCTAACCCTTGCGCATTTTCGATCTTTTATTTTATTTGTTAGGAAATTGTAGATGTTAGTGTCCTCCCAAATGAGAGATATTAAAGAATTAAAATTTATAGATAAAAAATGTGATGTGCCATTTATACGCCACCATGATCATAATTCTGTAAATTGAAACAATAATAGCTACTAATACTTATTGGTATGGTTTCTGCGCATAAAAAACTTAGAGCATGTTTACTAATAATAAAGAAATTTTCCAATTTTTGAGATAATTGGAAAACTGGAATAGGAAAACTGGAAAACGTGTTTACCACAGAAAATTGCTGGAAAACTGAAGAACAGAAAACAGAAAACAGAAAAATGTGTTTACCAAATAGTTTTTCAAAACAAAAATGTGAAACATGTCTATGTTTTCCTTAATGAATTGGAAAAGTGACTTTTACTAGTTTTCCAAATTTGGAAAACACGGATACTGTAGTGCTGCTGCAATGAATTTACATACTTTACGCCTAGTGGTGTATCCGGTCCCGCTTTGGTGTCGGTTCTAGTCCTGTTTAGTCAATGACCCGCCGGTCCCGATCTCGTCCGGTCAACGACCCGATGGATCCTGTCTGGTCCGGTCGACAGTCGAGCAATCCCAATCCGGTTCGGTCGATGACTCGACGGTCCCGGTCCGGTCCCGGTCCGGTCTGGTCAACGACCCAGTCCTCCTTGTTCGATTCAGTCCACAACCCGGCGTTCCTATCTGGTCCGGTCCACGACCCAGCGGTCAGCGCCCGGTCCGATCCCCAACCCGACGGTCACTATCCGGCCCGATCGATGACCGGACAATCCCAGTCTGTTCCGGTCTTGCCAATGACTCGACGGTCCTCATCGGGTCCGGTCAATGACCTGGTGGTCCCCGTCCTGTCCAGTTAACCACCCGACAACCCATCCTGTCCATCCAATGACCCGACGGTTTGTGTTCGGTCTGATCAACAACCGAGCGGTATCAAGCCAGTCCTGACAACAACCCGACAGTCCTCATCCAGGCCGGTCAATGACCCAACAATTCAGTCTCTTTTTGAAATCATTTTTAAAAATGAAGAGTTTTAAAAGAACTTTTGAATTGTCAACCAATAGGGAAATGAGAATTAGAATTCTTCAAACTAACCGTTGAGATCAGACGGTTTCGGTCCCGACTTTTCTATACGTGGGACCTGGTACCCTACTTGGGTTGTACTTGGTTCTATTCCGGATTGAGACCGTATTTTCGGTCTTCTAGTCAGTCACAGAATTAAGTGAAAAATTTGATGAACATGTTTTCAAATTCGAAAATGAAAAACTGAAAAATGAAAACAGAAAATTGAAGATAGAAGAACTAAAAAAATGAAAACAGAAAATTTGAGAACATAAAACAGAAATAGAAAACTGGAAAATATCTTTTGTTAGTAAACATTTTTATCTTTTATCTTTATTTTCATAATATAATAGTCATTATTTCTTCAAAAGCTCAATCATATTAATCAAATTAGAGTTATTAATAAGTAATTTTGAAAAAAATCGAACAGTTTCACAAAAAGGGACCAGCAATCTAAAAGGAAAAAAAGACAGACTTTAACAAATAGAGTCATCAATCGATCATATCCTTAAGGACCATAACAAGAAATTAAAAGCAAATGATAGAAAGCAAAATTTATAAGGTTAGGACCAGATTATGACATTGAAGATGACATCAACACCATCTTATAGAGAAGGAAAAGTCTAATAATGATAGATCGAATTGAATTCATTTGAAGGTTATTCATGTAGGACTGTGGGCTGTGGGCTGTGGGCTGTGGCCCGGCTTCCCCACTTCAGTGGCTATTTAATTAAATAATTATTGGTGAAACCAATGTCAGGTTAAAAATATTTATCAAAATATTACTAGAGTAAATTGCGATTAAATGAAAACTGTCAAATCAAGTGGTGAGTTACAAAGCCGTCAATTCATTTAACAAGTTTGCTTCTGGAGTTCTGGTAACAAAACGTGCATTCAATTCGAACTAACAAAGAACCATTTCAACGCACCAAAACCTATATTACCAAAATATCACAAAAACATCAAATAAGTTTAGAAATGAGAAACTGTAAATGAACTAAATCGAATGATATGCAATAACCTGAATGTTCTGAACATGTTTGATGTTTTTGTGATGCTTTGCTAATATAGGTTGGATTTTTTGTTGAAATGGTTCCTTGTTTCTAGTCTATTCCCATGTTCGTTTTGTTAGTTGTAGACGTTTCTGAAATTTGGGCAGAGTCGCTAAATGGGTTGACGACCGTGTAAGTAACCATCGGGTTTGACTATTTCATTTAACGACAGTTCAGTCTAGCTAGTACAGAGTAATATTTTGATAGTTACTTTTAATATAATCTCATAATTATAATTACTCAAAATTATTAATAAAATCAACTTGTATAAGAGGTCATATTTTATCCATGATATCTATATAAATCACATATATGTGTTATGTGTCATTATTTCTATTACATTTGTTAAGTTTATCATGAACTATTAAAATTTGCACGTCCATAAATTTAATTTTAATTTTATTTTAGGAAGAATCTTTTATTTTACATATCCTATGTTTCACATACTCAAAGCAAACAACATTTTAAATAAAAAAGGGAATTTCGACTTTGTAAATCAAACTATTTAAGTGATATTGAACTATGCGGCCTAAAAGAACTTTGATTTTATAGATTTAGTACAACCTCCGTCCCATTTTATGTGTCTTAATTTGATTTGACACGATTATTAATGAAGTGATTGAAAAAGTAAAAGTTGTGGTTGAAATTTGAGTATAATAAAATGAAATGATGTACACCACATATTTTTTCCAAAAAAAGGAGACGTTTATTTTGAGACAACCTAAAAAGAAAATTAGGACAGATAAAATAAGACAGATGGAGTAATAAATTAAAAACAGTCTAGTTTTAGGTTCATATCAAAACTTTATAATAAAAGAAGATAGAGAAACATTAAATTAGTTCTGCTGTTGTGAGAAGAATACAACATAATAATAGCGGAAAGGAATAAGTGAATATCGTTCTTTCCATGGTAAAATTAAAGGCCTCACAAAATAAAGGTGGGAAAACAATTGGCTGAGAACGAAATCCATCACAACATCCCCACGTAACTATCTTGAGACCAGCTTTCGGTGGTCATGCTCATGCACTCGGCCGTTTCTCTATCTTAAGGTGGGTTAGTTTGCAATCATTAATAAAAGTGATTTTGGTTTTTTTTAAAGAAAAAAATACTTATTTTATCAAACACTATCAACTTTTACTTTCTCGGCTTCCGTGTAAAATCTACTTTTTACTTTTTCTATTACACAAAAAGCACTTATTTTACCAAACACTATCAACTTTCATTACTAATCACTTTTTCCCAAAAAGTGTTTTTATTTAAGCACAAGTGGTTGCAAACAAAGCCTAATACGTAGACCGTAGACCGTAGACCGAAGTACTTAGTACGAAGTATGTTTTTTTTTGCCTTTATGAGATTTATTAATCAACTTTTTTACTAAACACAAAATTTTTCTGGCCGTATTGGTTGTAGATGATCATTTTAGCTATTTTTACATATAATTTTTTTATTTTACTAATAAAATATATATTAAATATAATTTTCTCATAAATCAACAGAATCAGTCACTTCAGTCACTTCATCTAGAATTTAGTAATAGTTAAGTTCAAAGAGAGAAAAAGTAAGATCAAAATGCATTCCATACATATAAAATACATTAATTCAAGAATAAAAATCTATCATAGTCATATTTTAGGATTCGTCATCTCAAAATATTATTTAGGTAATACTCTATTATAATTATTTATTTTAGGTAAGTTTCTCAAAATAGAATGCATTTATTATTTATATTGTTTGTTGGAAATGTATCAACTTTTTTTGACACAAAGGTGCCAACTTTGTTGATTTTTTTCATTTTTATATTTAGTTATTATATTTGGCTAAACGGTCCCTGAAATGACTTAAAGTGTTCAATTAGTCCCTTATATTGGAGGTTCTGCCCAGCCGTCGCCAATTGGGGCGGTTCCCGATGAAATTTTTTGATGAAATATTTTGAGCATCTTCTTCATTAAGTCTAGTTTACTCATATCAAATTTCAGCTAAAAATTCAACCGGAAAGGCAGTCAAATGATTTTTTGAAGATAACTGCGAAGTTAAACAGCACAGTACATTTTGGAAAATCATTTGACTGGCTTCCCGGTTGAATTTTTAGCTGAAATTTGGTATGAGTAAACTAGATTTAATGAAGAAGATGCTAAAAAAATCTCATCAAAAAATTCCACCAGGAACTGCCCCAATTAGCGACGACCGGGCAGAACCTCCTATATACGGGGCTAATTGAACACTTTAAGTCAGTCAGTTCAAGGGCCTATTTGACCCTTTAGCCATTATATTTTTATACCACACATGAATTTCATTATATTTAAAATTTATGATAGACCAGATTTTAGCATGTTCCTATTTATGCCCTGCTCATGATTATAAGTACTCCCTCCGTCCCCTTTTAAATGGGACGGGAGATGGTGGCACGGGTTTTAAGAAAAGTGAGTTTGTGTGGTTGATATTAATTGATAAAGTAAGAATAAAGTAAGAATGATTTTGAGCCACACAAAGTTTACCAAATAAGGTATGGGGCAATTAAATAGGGACATCCCAATATGGTAAAACGGGACATTTAAAAGGGGGACGGAGGGAGTACGTAGTATGTTTTAATTAGACTTTAATTTTATAATCTAGTACGTCTAATCTGGCCAGATTAATTGTTATTGAAAAATCAAATAAATCTGCATTCATTAATTGAATAAAAAAGAAGTAATTAGAAATACTTGGATGAAATCAAGTACAATGAATCGTTGTCTGACGAATTTGCCCACAACACAAGTAGCAATCGCCTCCCAGGATAGAACGGATAGCAATCGCCTCCCAGGATAGAACGGAGAGCAATCGCCTCCCACGAGAGAACTAAAGTGGTGAAATTTGGATGAGGAAGATTAAGAAAAGCTTTGAGCATTTTTCGGGCTTCTTATCGATAGAAAAACGCAGGCCTGTTAAAGTTGCTTTTATCGGCAAATAATTTGTACAAAATATAATGTTACATTTAAAGCCACGCGAGTACCCACCCATACGGCTATACTCGAAACCCGACCTGACTTGTCCAGCCAGCTGAACGGCGGCGGCGGTCCCAGACAAGTCCTACATGAACCTTGCTTCGGAGAGAATTTCAGGATATAATTTCTCATTCATTTCAAAATGATTTTCGATAAATAATACTCGTATATAATTTGTAAAACCATTTTTCCAACATTAATTTGGCCTAGTATGTTTATGTTGGCTCTAGTCTGGATTGGTTATGGAACGAAAACCAGTCCGACTAAAGACATCATAATTAAGTCATGCAATGTTCCATATAATTTTTATGAGTACCGATTGCTTGTTGTGTTCTACTAGTACTCCGTATCATTTTGACCCACCGTATAGAAAGTAGTGATATTCATTCTACTTGTTCAATCAATCTTTCAATGAAATTTCATTACTTTACTGCTTCGTATTTGTCATATACGTAGTAATTTTTACTAACTGTAAATAAAAAAAGACAAATTTTCATCTCTTTTTATACACTTCTCTACGTACTATACGTTTTCATGTTCTTTGAGAGTGTTTACTTTTCTACACTAATCAATATTCTTCTCTAGTGACTTCATCTTTCTTAAAAAGCCTACTTATTGGAATACATGTGAGCACAGAAAATGATATGCAAGAAATTATAAACTGTGAGTAAATCTAACTAAAGGCATAAATATGCCCCTATCTATACCCCTCAAACTTATATTTATCGATAAAGATTTCAAGCACAATCTGACTGTCTTTACCTAGTAACTTTAAGGCCGGCCTAGATAAGTAAAGTTCAATAAGACTATTATATTGATCTAAGAATGTTACTCATAGTCTATATCCATCATATTTGATGAATCAAGGGTCTACCGCATGATTAAATTTGGAGAATGAAATAATATATTACTCCGTAATATTGAAGGTAAATTGGTCTCCGGAGGAAGTGGAAGCTTGGGGTGTAAGGGAGCCAGGCTATTCTTTGGTAATTTGGTTAAGGGATAATAGGTGGAGTAGAGTGGTGAACGAAACGGATGAAACTTTGATTCGTTCAAGAATACAAGAATATTCATATGCGGCTCAGATTAAGTTTAATAGTAACGATATCAAGATGATATTAAGAGATTCGGACAAATGGTGTAGAAGTGAAGCAGATCAAGTGATTCACGTTATTGCTCATGCGGCTGTTTTTAGAATTTTAGGAATGAAAGTGTTTCCATTTTCTCTTCTCTGCCGTCTTATATTGTAAGGCTGTAAGCTGGTTGGCTATTGATTTCATATACATAAAATTGGGCAATTTACTTTAAAAATTTGTTATCTTTTTGCTCTTTATAAAATCGATGTACAGGAAACAAATGGTGGTTAAATTAAAGTTCTAACTGATATACGAGCTTTACAACCACGCTCATATATGATATATGGAGAGAAATGGCAGCAGCCCTGTTACGAGTGAACTATAAAGTCTATAATGGAGTTGCAGTTGGAAACTAATGCAATTAGTGATATACTTTTTTACATAACATGTATCAGCATAGGTGACATAGCATCCTAATGAATCTTGATGACAACCTTTAGGTATACCGTTATACCAACTTCTGCTTACCAGAGATCAGCCTTCCAATGTGACCCAATACAAATAAAAGAGTATGACCAAGTGAAAAACAGGAAACCAATGTTCCAATACAGATAAATACTACGTATGAGTCAAATTACATCGAATTTAGGCAACCAATGCTCTCTACTTCCATCATAAACGCTATCGATATTGAGGCGAAAGTTTACACCCAGTGCGGCTGCTATGTGAAAATCAACACACTAATGACCTGCATAGACAAGATGAAAAGCACTACCAAATAGAACCACAATTTCCCTACTGTTTTGCTATCATTGAATCAATTTAGGTTTTTCAAGTAACTGCCGGCAAGGTCATATGACATCTCTAGTACATGTTGTCAACTGTCAAATGTCAATCTACACAACTCAACTCTCCTACTGCATGGCTATGCTTTAATCAATTCAGGGTTATTTTACTAACTGTTGACAAAGTTCTCTTAAATTTATTGTGTATATTGTCAACTGTCACCTATGGTCCTATACAGGAGTAAAAAATTAGTGTTGCTACTACATAGCACTCTACATCTCACCAAATAAATAAAAATATATTATTGCGCCCAATGTAACTTTATACGGAGTAATAATTAGTTCAACTGTTCAACACATTGAGATTTCGTATGATAATGTCGGGTGAAACTAATATCTTCCCTTAGGTTCTATGATGAAGGCACATCAGGGTGGTTCTAAAAATTCACTTTCATATAATCAATGCAAGTTTAATTTATTCTCCCACAATCGTCCCTTATGAAAATCCTGAAACATGTTATCCAAAAAATTGTTTGAAGACATATTAGGAAAGTGAAGTTTACCAATAATTCCTTTGATCATGTTATCATAAATTCTAAATCATATGAAATCCAAAATTGTGCCATATAATGAGATTACAGAGTATCACATGAAATATCAAGGTTACCTCGAAATACCAGTATTTCTTGTATCCTTGAGCAAATATTATATCCTTCACCACCTTGTTTACATCACATCCTTGTCAATTGCAGGCCATGATCTCATATTATAGAAAGAATAACAAAACTTTCATGTTTTGATTGAAAAGCTCGCAAACAATCATTCTGAGTTATAGTATGTAAATAAATAAATAAATAAACTCATTTGACCTCTTGATCGACCCGCATCAAAGCTCCTCCTGAAGATTTCCTAGGTATGTATGAGGCGTCAATATTTAGTTTCATTTCAGTCTTAGGTCGAGTCCATCTTACCAGCAAACCTTTAGTCTTTACTTTCTTGAAATTAGGAGGAATCAGATTTTCTGAGAGTAAGAACTCATAACCCAGATTAGATTTGAAGTTCTTCAAAGTGGTTGACCATTCTTGTGTAAATCTTTTGATTTGATAAATCAATGCATCCGATGATGGAGCTGTAGATCTATTTCCCCACATCATATCTGAGTAGATTTTCCATATATGCCAGGATAAAGGATATTATCCCTGGCATATTATGCTTGAATATATCAAAAATGGATTTTTTCCTCGCTTCTATCCACCAAGTCAGAATGACCTGTTTAATCGAACATTGATATTGAGGAATAGCAAGGGAAAAAAACATCTCATGAAATATCTCCAGACATCATTTATCATTGAACAATGATAAAAAGTGTGATCAACACTGTCAGAGCTCTGTTTACATATAGGACACATAGTAGGAAAAATGAGAAAAATCATAGCTTTGAATCTGAGAAAATTCTCTGAAACAGGCAGCATTTGATTAAGAAGTTTCCATTGGAAAATCATAATCTATGGATTTTAAAAGACTAAAAGCTTGAAATGTAATTAAAGAGCCCCACACTTCGATCATTTATCTTCATATGAGAAGAACAGTCAGATAACACTTATACACACACACACACAAATACAGATTATACCACTTAAAGTTTTCACAAGTATATATATGCTACTGAAAAAACTCTATAAAATTGTTATTATATGGTGCATCATAACCAAGGATCAAAGCTTCTATAGATTGATGAATGTGGTTCCGACAACTTCACAAACACTTGGTGACACACATGGGTTTTCTTTTTTCACCCATAGCACTCTTAGAAAATCTAAAAAACTCTCAGAAATATTAAATTGTCATTTAAATTACTTAATCAAGAAATTAAACAGAATGAACACGAGACAATTTAAAGAAAAGAAAACTTACCCATGTCAAGAATTTGAAAGAAGCAAAAGGGAAGAAGATAGCTAACAAGATTGGGTCCAAGAAAACCGCATGAACCGCCTAACGCATTCAAAAAACCTATACATGTAAAGAGACATCACATGCTGTCCCTTATGGTCAATTCCAATTGCTTTCCTAGTGTCTTCTAGTCAAACTTTTTGCAATCTTCCCCGAGCAAAGACCCTCCACTTGAGGTTTTAGGAATATAAGCACAATACTCACAAGACATTGAGTAATGCATCCCAGATAGATAAGCTGCTTTGATATAATGATATGTTTGATTTACATGATGCTCTTGTAGCAACTTCCTAACCCCCTTCACAATGAATTTTTCCATGTGGCAGTGTAGAAAGTTCAAAATCCTCAATAGATTTTATCACTTTCGCCCTTGGTTTACAGTGTCAAAATAAGCTGGGTTTATCACCATGTCATCTCTTTGATTGAACAGTTGAATACTAGCAGCTTATGAGTTTTTTATTCTATACAGTCACCAATAGTCACCACATGTGCACTTTCCATTCTCAAACCGATGAAACCGATTGTTGTCCCTCACAATCATTACTCTCCCCGTGCACTTGGACATAAATTTTATTGCATTGTGACAATCACCACAAACACGCAAGTTTTTCATAACTCTAATCGGCCTTTCTGGTGGAATTGTGATAAGTGCAAAAGCAATGGCTATTCTTTCACTGTGATACCTTATTGCTTCATTCCTCTCTTGATCACCAACTTGTTGCAACACAAAGTTAGTATCTGCAACATAACCAGCCCTCTCCATTTCATCCCCTAATTCATCTAACTTATGGTATATCTCCTTATATCTTTCGTGACGCTTATCACCAGTAGCAAACATGTGTGTCCTGTTTCCTTCTTCAACCCAACTCAAACCAGTTTCCTTCTTCACACCTTGTTCTCTCAGCATCTTCCTTGCTTTAGCTGCATCTTCATATCTACCAGCAGCTGCATATGTATTGGATAGTAGCACGTGCAGGCCTGGACTCACGGGACCCAGTTCAAAAACCCTATCAGCCACATACGCTGCCAATTCAGTGTTCCTGTGAATGCGACAACCGGTCAATAATGCTCCCCAAACAGATTCAGTTGGTTTTATGGGCATTTCTTCTACTACTTTCAAGGCTTCTTGTAGTTTTCCAGCTCGTCCAAGGCAGTCAACAAAAGAAGCATAATGCTGATCCCCTGGCTCAATCCCGTAATCTTTCATTAACCCGAAATAATATTTCCCTTCTTGAGTTAGCCCTGCGTGACTACATGCATAGAGCACACACAAAAATGTGATGAAATTTGGCTTTATACCAGCAGCTCTTTCGATTTGTTTGAACAAGTTGAAAACCTTATTGGTGTGCCCATGTTGAGCACAAGCTAGTGACATTGCATTCCACATGCCCAGATTCTTGACTGAACCTTCATTGAAAACTTGATAAGCAGCCTCTACAAGCCCACACTTAGAATATAGAGATATTAACGAAGTACCCACAAAACTGGATGAGTCATAGCTAGTTTTCAAGCATATCCCATGTATCTGCCTCCCTAACTCAAGCAAAGTGGAAGTCCCACACAACCGGATTACACATGAATAAGTGAAGTCATTCACATTCAACTCTTCCTCCAAAGCTAGCTTGAAGAGCCTTAAAGCCTCATCGTTCTCGCCCACCAGACCATACCCGCATATCATCCCACTCCAAGAAACAACATTTTTCTCGGGCATTTCATCGAACACATACCTAGCCACATCTATCTGCCCGCATTTGGCATACATATCCACCAAGGAACTGCCAACGAACACATCCGAATCGAACCCAGTCTTCACCGAACAGCAGTGTATCATTCCCCCGAGATGATGATCAGAAAGCATGGCGGAAGATTTGGTGGCACACGGGAAAGTATGATCGTCGGGCCTGACACCAGAACGCATCATTTGGCGAAAATACTGAAGAGCTAAGCCAGGAGTCTCGTTCTGGGCCATCGAAGATATAACGGAGCTCCATGTGGTGGGTGACTTGACTGGGGACTCTGCAAAGACGAGCGTTGACTCAAATGGGCACTGGAGCTTGGAATAGAAGTTTATGAGGTGATGGCAGACTAATGGAACTGTGTTGATTGCGGACTTTATAGTGTGGGCGTGCAAGGCCAAGCCATTAGAGAGGCATTTCGAGCGGGTGGCGGAGAGGAGGAGAGTGCATGTGGTTCTATAGTTTTGCTCGAAGCTGTGGTCGTTAAGCAGGTTGCGGGGTTTAGAAAAGAAGCGTATGCAAGGTAATGGAGGCGGCGGGAGCTGTTCGGGTTCGAGAGGCTCTTGGAGAAGTGTTTGATTCATTGGAACTCTCAAAAACTCGTTTCCTCCATTGCAAATGATGCAAAGTTAAAGCTGCGTTTGACCTGCGACGTAGCCAGGACAATAGACAGGGTCTTTGGATTGTGTGTTGGGGACCTTTAGTAAATGAAATGTTCCCACTTATTTGGAAGAAAAATTAAGAGGTGTTAAAAAGTGTTAGTGAAGATTTGGAAGTGTTAATAATGGAAAATGATCTTTGTACCCACTTTTATACCCACTTTTATACTCACCCATGTTTGTGAAGTTATTTTTTTTGTCTGTGAATTCCTTCACAGACAAAATATGTCTGTGAAGGAATTCAAAGACATATTTTGTCTATGAACCGGTTTCACAGACAAAAAAATAGCCTTCACAGAGGTGGGTATAAGATGGGTACAAAGTGGTGAGTACAATAAGCATGATTGGTTAATAATAACCTTCCCAACACCTCCATTGTCCACTTTTTTAACATCTGATTTGGGGTGTTTTGAGGTCTTGGACAATTATTACCCTTCCCATTTACCCTAAAAAACATAAAATGTTTCGACATCTTACTTCGAATCTCTTTCCCGCAGGTCTGATGGTTTGTCCTTATCATCTCTTCTCCTTACTCGTATCTTCTGCTTCAAGGTAAAAGTGTAAAACTATCGACACTTTTATTATTAACACTTCATTCATTTGACTTTCCCAAACAAGGTAAAATTATGTCTAACACTTACACTTCCCTTCCGGACCCTTACTAATACTTACTAACACTTCCATTACTAACACTTCCAAACACTCCATCCAAACAGAACCTTAAACTTTGCAGACTTTTCCCAGAAAAAGTTTACTCATATCTCTCGATTATACAATTTTACTTTTCTTTTTAACTCATTTTTAGGATGTCTCAAAAGATCTTTTTATTACTCCTTTTGAAAAAAATTGTATGATTAACGTTCATTTACATTTTTCTTGCTCGACCATGATTATACGTTTTCACATTTTCTTAAACTCTGATCCAAGTCAAATAGGGAAATATGCAATGTCCATTCGAATGGAGGTAATAAGTCATTTTTAGTCTCCTATAAAGTTGGCCTACATTTGAAACAATTTTATGTCGATTGCATAATAAATGTAATAAATACTTCTAATATTTCACCATTTCAAAAAACAACGGGACACTCGTATAGGAGCTAAACGCTATAAAACTAATAAATCACATTTTAAAATATAAATTAATGACACTAAAACAAAATTATGTGTCTTTTGAAGGGAAAGTTTCCTAAATATGATTAAAAACACTTGTGTGTTTCGAAACAAGACCATCATGTTTTTATTCCTAGAGTAATTAGTGTCATGCTTTGGCAGTACTTGGCTATAGATAATAAAAATATGACATTCATATTTTCGTATTTTGACATTCATATTTTGCAAATTTTCCATTCATTGAATGACATGAGAAAGAATATAATGAAATGATATCTTTCGGCCAGTTTTTTTTTGCCAAATAGATGTTGATATGATCGGTAAGAGACTAAAGTGACAATCGGCATAAATTTAAGTTGCATAGATGTAAACCACAAAACACTACATTTAGAGAGATTAAAAACATATGTAAACCTTAGTAAAAATATAATGCATTAAACTAGAAACTCTTTTGACTTCCTCGGAAGAAAGTTATGGAATAGTGAACACACAAGTGACGAGTTTATATATGTTACAACTCATTGGATTGATAAACTTTGGAAGTTACACACCTATGTTTAGACACACCTATTAGGTGAAATTCAACTTTCACTATGTTAGATCTTTTCTTTTATTTTCGGGATGTTATTGATAGTTTTGTTGGTAAGAATGCAGATTTGAAAAACAATCGTCTCACCGAGGAGGAATGGACAAAGGTAAGTTAATTGAAAAAGTTCTTGCAAGTATTTTTTGATGTAACGAATGACTTTTCTGCTTCTAAGACACCAACCATGAAATTTTATTTTTGTGGGGTGTGGAAATTTTAGAAATTGTTGAAAAAAATAGTATCTGCCTCTCAACATTTTAGCTAACATGGTGAGTCAAATGCAATTGAAATTTGAGAAATGTTAGGAAGATTACAATCTCATCCTTTCATGCGATATAGCTTTTTATAATCATTTAAAGTTATATGGTGTTGGGTTTATATAAGAAGTTAGGGGGAGAACGTACTAAACCTTTTGTGAATCAAATTAAAACTACTTTAGTTGAACTTCCAGATGAATAAAAGTCTACATGTGCTAAAGTTGGGGAATCTGGCCTGAACACCTCAAGTAGGAACTTTACTTGGACTGTAATCTGTCCCAAACCAGACCAGATCAGACAAGACTTGAATAGTTATAAAAATACAAAAAGACCAGACATTACCAGACCAGTTTAGACCAGATCAGACCAGACCAGCAAATTACAGTCGAAGTAAAAACATCCTAATTCTTCTAGCTAAGGTTCATCGTTCTTTCATCTTTGGCTCGGAATATTATAATAACTTGGGGAAGAAAATAATAACTTCTTCCCAAAGTTCTCTATCCCCCACAACCGTTGAGGCTCTTGCGTGTTTAGAGGATTGGTTGCATGCTGAACCTGATAATTTTTTTATGTATAACACATTCTTTGTCATTATATAATGAACTAATGATTAATCTGATTTTGAATTGCATATCTTTTTTCTTGAATTTATCTTGTGCCATTCTTTGATGATTCCATTATGATGTTTTACATGTTCCCAAGTGTAATTATTTTCCAAAATTTTCAACTTGCAAGGTCCCACAAGTATGTTCAAGATCGGTGATCGACCTTGGAATGATAGTGAGGATGAAGAAAATGATGAAATGATATACTAGTATAAGATTGAAAAATGACAGTATAAATAGTTTTTATTATCTCAATGCGTCTTCTACTCTAATTTTTTTATAAAATTATTATTTTTTTGTTATTTGTTATTAGTAATATGGTGATTTGTCATTTTATATTGTACACCTGTAGCATTAAACAAGGAAGAATGAAGGACCAAAGGTGAGCCGGTATGCTCGACAAGTATATGAAGTGAAGTTGTCTCTAGAAGTCCTTCGGAGCTGAATTATTGTTTTTGTTTAGGGATTCTAAATCTCAATTGGGATTGTTTTGGAATTTGTTGATGTTGTGTTGTGGACACTGTGATTGTTCCATTAATGGTTGATGTTGTTTTGTGATTGAATTGGATGATATTTTTTGTTGACGGGTACATTAACTTCTTTAAAAATGTTGTGTTGTTACTTTATAAATGTTTTCAACATTTTCAACAAAATTGAAAAAAAAAACATTTTTTCCTGGGCCGGGCGGCCCAATGAACAGCCTGACTTGCGTTACTTGGCGGGCTTGGACATATGAGGAGGCCCATTTGTACCGGGCCGGGCCGGGCATAAATTTTATGAAAGGCCCGAGCCTGTGTTTGTGCAGGTCTATGCCCAATAGTAATCTACTACAGAGTACTTGATTAGTCCATACATATAAACTTAGAATTCTCTTATCAACTTTCAATAAAACTCAAGGATTAAAGTTCTTGAGAGTTTGTTTATCAAATATTAAAGACTAAGACTACAAAACTCAGAAAACTATACTATGTCAAACTCCGGAGAGTTTGACATAGTATAACCAGGGTTGATTTGGTTTGATTTGATATTTTATTCCATGTGATCACTAGACACGCGTGTTATAACCAGGGTTGGAATCGGGGTATTGAGCGAGTAAAATATTTTTGGGAAAAAAATATACATGAATTTGTTTACCTTAAAAATTAAGGGTCTGTTTACTAACAGAGATATTTTCCTGTTTTCTACTTATGTTTTTCTTTCTCCAATTTTCTGTTTTTATTTTTCAGTTTTTCTATCTCCAATTTTCTGTTTCAATATTTTAGTTTTCCATTTTCAAATCTCAAAACATGTTCATCAATTTTTTCACTCAGTTCTCCAATTCCACATCCTTGACCCCTACCTCTACCCTTACCACGATCTTACACTCTACCCATACTCGCCAACAACCCTTCACACCCACCCATACCTACTTATAGGGGTCAGAGTAGGGAAATTATAGGTGGGGGTGGGGGTAGGATGGCGGTATGGGTGGGGCTAGTGGGTAGGGTAGGGGTAAGGTAGGGGTAGGGTAGGGATAGGATGGCGGTAGGGTGGGGCCGGGACCAAGGTGGGGCCGAGGTAGGGAAGGGGTAGGGTGGGGGGTAGGATGGCGGTAAGGGTGGGGGTAGTGGGTAGGGTTGTGGTAAGGTAGGGGTAGGGAAGGGAGTTGGGATAGGATGGTGGTAGGGTGGGGCCCAGGATCCGAGTGGGGCCAAGGTAAGGGAAGGGTAGGGTGGGGGGTAGGATGGTGGTGGGGGTAGGATGGCGGTACGAGGGTGGGGGTAGGATGGCGGTGGGGTGGGGCCGAGGTAGGGGGCATGTGATAAGGGGTAAGGTAGGGTAGGGGTAATATACGGGGGGTGGGGGTTAGGGTAGTGTGAGTCGGGGTGGGGTCGAGGTGGTAGGGAGTGGCGGCAGGGTAGGGTGGGTTGGGGTGGGGCCGAGGTAGGGGCATGCGGTACGGGGTGGGGTAGGGTCATTATAGGAAAAAATGGGTATGCGGGGTGGGGGTAGTGGGGTAGGGTAGGGGTAAGGGTAAGGTACGAGGATGGGGGTACCGGAATGGAATCGACATTGGAGCGGGACCGGACCCACCACTAGGTGCAAGTATGCAAATTCATTGCAGCGGCACTGTAGCATCTGCGTTTTCCAAATTTGGAAAACTAGCAAAAGTCACTTCTTCAAATCATTAAGTAAAAGAGAGACATGTCTCATTTTTTCCGTTTTGGAAAACGATTTGGTAAACGTGTTTTTCTTTTTTCCCTTCTCCAGTTTTCCAACAATTTCTTTGGTAAACACGTTTCCTGTTTTCTATTTTCCAGTTTTCCAGTTTTCTAGAAAATTGGAAAATATCTCTGTTAGTAAACAGGTCCTAAGCATTTTTTAGATTTGGGTTGAGCCACCTAGATACGCCCGTAGTTATAACAAACATATTCCAGTAAATTTTGTGTTTTGTTGGACTTAATTTGAGTCTTAGACAAATTCAAACTTCATAACATTTCACATTCTTAGCATTTTAGCAATGTAAAATGGATATAGTATCATATTCACCTTTTCAGATCATACATGACTTAAACCTATATAAAAATTATCTAATCAGACAATGTTAATGCTATTATTGGATGTCATTTTAGCTCAAAATAGCCCTGTTAAATAAATCTTATCTTGAGTTTTATTTGGACAATTAAATGACAGGTAGTCTTATTTAAATGAAGGATGATCTTGACTCGATCTAAATGTAATCAGCTGATTTGAAACGCTACTAATAGGGGGTGTTTGGTTAATGGCCTATCAACTATTTTTTGGCTGATTTGATCAATATTGGCCTTTTGACCAGATCAATCAGCTAATTAAAGTGTTTGGTTAAATGGCTTTTACATTTAGCTTTTCATTTCAAACAGCCAAAAAATAAAACGCCATCATCCCGTTTGCTGTCGGCTGATACGTATGAAACACATATATTCCAGTACTACCCATGTCTTACTTTTCGTCTCTCCCTCCAATTCGCTGAGCAGAAGAAGAAAAAAACTGGTTGTAGCAGCTTCCCCTGATCTACTATTATTTCCACCAAAGCCAAATAAATAACTTGATCTAGGAACAAACGTGCCTTTCATAGGTTCTTAGGTTCGCTAATTAACCAAAATAGACTCTTTCTCGAAGGATGTGAAATATTAGTAAAAGTATTCTTTTACTTGGTATAAATATTTCTCGATTTTTTTTTAAATAGTTAGTACTTAGTAGTACTCCATTACTTTTGTCAATAAATTTTACTTTTTTAAATCATAAAATGGTTTAAATAGTGGTATTAGTCACATTAAATAAAAATTAATTGATGTCCTTAAATGTCATTTAACAAGGTATCGACTGATTATAAACAGCCATTTAACCAAACACAATTTTACAAACAGCTAATACTATCAGCTAATCAAAACAGTCAACATAATCCGCTAACATCAATCAGCTAACACAATCAGTCAACAGCTAACAGCCAACGGCCGTTTGCCAAACACCTCCATAGTAGTCCTTCAGCCGTTGTTTATATTAAAACTTTTTTTGTATGGCCTGGCAATTTTACATTTTTAAACATTGTTTCAGCTCTGTTGCTAAATACTTCTACTTCATTAATTTGGCATTTCAAATTGAGCAACTTTTACCTAGCTGCAAAAAATTGCTAGAAGTAGACAATAAACTCGACTTTCAAATCTCTTTGCAAACATAGCCCAAGTCATGTTTATATCATGTTTGGATAATTGGATGGTCTTAGGTATATAAAATCTGTTTTTGTTTTATGAGTGATTTTTATAGTTTTCGATCACAACTATCTATGCTCAAAAAACTCTAATATGAAAGAACCAATATTACAAGTGAACCCATATGTAAGCTAAGAATTGTTTGGTTACTTTGTCATGAGACAGAAGTCCCCTGAGCTAAAAATGCTACTTCAATTCCTATTTCAACTGAACATAAGTGAAGCTGCAAAAACACATAATGTGAACCAATTGAATCCCAAAAAACTGTACAAAGTGTTGGCACACACCAACAGATGATACTTTGCATGCACACACTTTAATGCACTTCACACTATATATGTAATTAATTTTGGTAATAATATGTGATGTTTCCATACACTACAAAAAAGTGCACATAGACTGCACATGGGCCACAATTTTTTTTGCGATGGCAGCATAACTGTCGTTAAAAACACCATTAACCACACATTTTTTTATTTACCACACACAAAAATGTGGTAAAAGCTTAGAGACTACAGTTTTTAACCGTGGCCAATGTTTTTACCACAGCTGTTGTGCCGACGCACGTAAAACTGTCGTAAAAACGTAAGGAGGAACATTTACGACAGTTTCGCGTCAGTTTTACGTGCGTCGCCACAACAGCCGTGGTAAAAACATCGGTCACGGTTAAAAACTGTTGTCTCTGACCTTTTACCACAGTTTTGTATGTGGTAAATAAAAAATGTGTGGTTAATGGTGTTTTTAACGACAGTTATGCGGCCATCGCAAAAACAAAATTGGTCTATGTGCGGTCTATGTGCACTTTTCTTGTAGTGATATCAGTTTATTTTTGTGTATGGTATGGTAAGAAAACAAAGTAGTTTAGAAGAAGGAACGTTTGACAGGAGGTCTTCCCACAGCTCTCATCAGGTTGGCTAATTCCACAACTGCTGCCACTTTGGTTCCTCTCTTCCCCTCAGCTGAGGCTCTTCTTTCTTCTGCTTTTCTTCTAGCTTTTGCTATTTCGTTTTGCATCTTTTCTAATGCTTTTGCTCTCTTCTCCTCCAACTTCCTCTGTAAAGTAAAATTTAGTTTTTTTTTTTGCTATCATCAGTTTATTATTAGGACATTTCTTCAGCTACTATTAAATTCATGCATTCTCAGAGCCCGTTTGGAGACCTCTTTTTTCGGCTTATCAGGCTTATCAGCCAGCTTTTTCACCAAACACGTAACTTTTACTTTAAAGTGCTGAATTGTGTAATAAGCAGAAAAAGTAAGGTTGGAGTTACTTTTCTGGCTGTATTGGCTGAAGTTACTGTAGAGGACTATTTTAGCTATTTTTACATGTAATTTTTTCTATAATTTATTAATAAAATATATTTTTAAAATATTTTTTTCTTGAATCAGCAGAATCAGCCAAAACAGCCACTTCAGCCAGAATTTCATAAATTTCAGCAGAATCAGCCAAAACAACCGATTTTCGTGCTACCAAACGGGCTCTCAGTTTATCATGTAGTATTATTCTCGTGTAATCATGTCAATAATTTGCCTCCGCCGTTTTTTTTAAGTTTTTCCTAAAGTATTATTGAAATTAAATGTCAAAAGGCGAGTAAGGTTACTATCAATGTATCGTCATGGTCAGTAAAATTTAACATCATCATAGTTAGTTAGTTAGTGAAAGTTACTAGTGTAGTTACACCATATACGAGGCCCGATTTTTGTCTATTACCTTTAATTTAATAATATACAATTTATTAATTCTATATTTATTTAATAATGTATACACAACAATTATTATGTAAATTATTATTAAATTTATCTCATTGCACATTATAAGATATGAACTTCTTTATAATTTATACTAAGGGGGTGTTTGGATCTGATTCTTAAAACTGCTTCTGCTCCTTCAGGGAGTAGAAGCAGAAGCTGGAGTGTTTGGATGAAAGTGGAGAAGTGATTGTGGTACTCAAATTTACTCCTAGAATCAGTTTTTTTAGAAGCTGGGGGTGACCAGCTTCTGAAAACTGATTCTGATTCTGCTTCTACTTTAAAAAAGAAACAGAAGCAGAATCAGTTCCAAACACCCCTTAATAGCTAGATTATTATATTTATTAATGGTCAAAATTGTGTTTTAGGTGGCGTGAAATTCAAATTAATATCATTAAAATAGATTGGAGGAAGTATTATGTATGTAGTATTATATATAAGTGAAACTTTCCGAAATTAGAGTAAAAATGTGATACTCCAAACTAAGAATATTACTATATCTTTTTCCCAAATAGGAGTATATTAAAGCGATACTAAAATCAGTTCGTATACCGTGGTATCACCCCACGGTGAGCACTATGCTCCCACATCCAAAACGACGCAGTCTTGCACATTTTTTTTTTAAAAAAAATTTCGTGTGAACAGTAACGCGTGAACAGTACACGCGTGTTCAGTAACTGTTTTTTTGTCCCGGTAGTATGAATGATGTAACTCGCGTGTAAAGATATGTAACTCACGTTATTGATCAATGTAACTCAAGTCTATTTGAAATGTAACTTATCAAATACATACTATAAGAAATGAAACATTGATTTCAATGCAAACAATGAAAAAAAGAGTCTAACTACACAATTACTTTACGTAAATCGTGAATATGTTTTGTTTTTAATATCATGACCATCACAAGAATTTAAAAAAAAACTTTTTTTTGTTTCAATAGCAGTGAGTTATTTTTTATGCATCTCATGTTATAACAAATGTAACTCGCGTTGATGACAAATGTAACTTGCGTTTCAGAAGATATAACTCGCTTATAAAATAATGTAACTCAAGCATAAAATTATGTAACTTATGCTCTGGAATGTATATTATCAAAGTCCTTCAATCCACCGTAAGGGAATACTGCGTCGCCGGCGAGACAAGTACGGCCAAAGATGGACGAGCTATCTTCTTTGCTAACAGCTTGTGTTAAATTATGCATTCGTTGGTTTGAATTAGAGTTTGCTACATAATTTTCTTTAGTCTTAATTTCAATTAGTTGAAGTTGACCCATCCCTTTCTGTAATACATATGCACGTAGCATTACAAATTCGATTCAGCAGGTAGGGAGGTTCAACAAGGAAGCTTCGTATCAGCAAAGGAAAGAAATTTTTGGCCGCAGGGACGAAGCACACGCTGGACGGCTGGAGAAGACGGTGAATTTTGTCAGCTCTGTTTTAATTAATATAAAACGGCCTCGTTTTGGGATCGGCACACCATGCGCATGGTGGGCCGATCCCACGGTATAATTTGCGTACTAAAATCGTACTATCATATTTTGACATTGCTAAACATTAATATAGTAATATGGAGTATTACTCATATTTGGAGATAAATATATATAGAAATTGCTCAATATAAGAATGAAACACACATATATACAAAATTCAAAAATAAGACTAAGTATATTTTACTCCCCAAGTGAATGAGTCATATTTTGGGAATAGAACAATGACAATCCTATTAATATTGAGTCACATTCGGCTAACTCATGTCTAAAATAATTTCTTTACAGACACTTAGTATAAATCAATCAAAACTAGATTAGTCTAGAATAGAAGACTAAACCGGTGCAAGCTAGATTATAAATAACCACTCGAAATAAAAAACCATGTTCTAAGAGAGGCCAAAATCAAAACTAACTATAAAAAACAAGAACACGTACCACCCGACCCTCTAAGTTACGCTGTTACGTTACGTTGTTCTATTGTATGTTCGAGTGTCGACCTTATATTCCTCCACAAGTTTGAATTCTCAGTCTCATCAATTTAAGGACCCTTATATTTGTGCACACCAGAGGGCCAACTCAGTACACAGGAGCAGTGACCTCCCAACGATTGCTTCATGTTTCGATCCTTAGTTATTCATCATAAACTTATTACCGTTACCAGTTGAGCTAGTTGTGCGGGTAATATTCGGCCTTATATGTTCCTAGCTTGTATGTGTACACTTCAAATAATTTTGTTCATGCTTTGGCTTATATGCAAGTTTGAACAAATATGTCCAAAATTATTTGTATGTGAACAAATAATTTTGTTCACATCATTTGCCTGTCCAAGACATTGCATACTTGCCTTATATGCACCATGTATTCAGCCATTTAAACATACAAGCTTTGCTTGTCACATTAGTCTTTTCTGGCTAATACATTTTCCAGCAACGTGATGCTTCAATAGTTAGCTACAATGTTTCCCTCTTGGGTAGACCCCACAAATGACCAATCGATCAATTTTTAAAACACACATTTTGAACGAATTGATTTATTAATTTAATAAAAATAATACTTATTCTTAAATACTACTCGTTTTAAATTGGGAAAATGTTAATAATATTTTTAAACCCATCAATTATCAGTGCTAGGGATAATATGAAAATGCATATTTTTAAAATTAATATCAAAAATGTATTTTTGTAAGTTAAAAAATTTGGAAATAGAAAATTTTAACAACACATACATACTGAAAAATATCAACTTCACATACTTTATGAGAAAATTAAAGATTTCTAAAAATTAACAATATGAATATAATTAATTAAAAGATATCAATTCAAAAGAAATAAAAATCACTTTTGTGGCTTCACCATTGTATTGCAGTACATTACTTTACTGTTAGATTTTTAATTAATTTAGTATTCCGATCCCTCCGTCTTATTCAAACGTTTCCACTTTGTTTTTTGGACGTTCCATATAAAGATTCTCATTTCTATTTAAAAAAATAATTAACACTCTTAAACGAAAATTTAACAATCAAATATTAAAAATAATACATTTTAACATCACAGTTATCATCAATGACCTCATTATATTATATACCCATCAAAATTATTTTTCAGAGTGTACTTGAATATTTTTATTGATAATTGTCTAAATAACTGAGTCGTTTTATAATGAAAACCTTTAAGCGGGAGTGCGGGACGGAGGTAGTATATCAATTATCCAATAGATTAAATATATTTGGTAATTACTATTTTAGTTCAAACTTCTCTCCTCTCTAGCAACTACTCCCTCCGTCCCATTTTAAATGTCTCGGAAGAGGGTGACACGAGTTTTTAAAAAAATGAGTTTGTGTGGTTGATATTAATTGATAAAGTAAGAATAAAGTAAGAATGATTTTGAGTCACACAAACTTTACCAAATAAGGTATAAGACAATTAAATAGGGACATCCCAATATGGTAAAACGGGACATTTAAAAGGGGACAGAGGGAGTAGCTTGTTTTGGCTAATTTGTTTGTCCAAGCTAGAAGGAAATACACACTCTAATGGTAGGCTACTAGCTTGAGTATTTTTAAAAATTGCAAGCAAGTCTTCAGGAGGAACCATTGGAAATGCTCTAAGTCGTCTTAGTTAACTACGGAGTATTAAGAAATGAAGTTCAAACAAAAACTCTTTTTTTTTGGATGAACTCAAACAATAACTCTTTAACATGATTACATGAGTATGAATAACAATATCTTCGTATGTACTCATATTACACATATCACATATGTGACTCACTGACCCACATAGATCCAATATCATCAGCATTCTTACTTTTAGTAATATGGTCATTTACAAGTGTATCCACATATATATTCCATTAGAATACTAAGACAAGCTGATTGCATAAACTAGTAAACTACGTACTTCAATTCGACCATTGCCTGATGGCCGCACGTCAAACATTCAAAAGCTATCCAATTTTAAATGGAACAATAATCATATTATTGGTCTTATCTTTATATCTTATCCCTCAAGGTCTAATGACTTATTCGTGCCTCACAATGACGTGGTACTTTTCCGCCAAAATATACCACATACTCCTATACCTATCAACAACAAATATATACGGAGTATATGAAGTTTCTGTTATTTGACCTTAAATAAGTTTTGCCACACAATTTAACATTTTTTATACCAAGAGCAAAAGAGAAGATTTTTACGGATCAGAACGAGCAGTTAATTTAAACTTGATTAATTTGGTACCCCCGTGGTGCAAGATACTACAAAAATGTTACTTGTATATGCCGGATTACACGTTGGTTTATATGCCAAGTGTGCAATGTCTTGGACATGCAAATGATTTTTTATTTTAGTAAAGAAAGTTGTACGAGACTCCGAAAAAGTGAATTGGTGTGAACAGACAATTTGGGATCACAAACAATTCATTTACTAAAATGAAAATCAATTGTCTGTGCACGGATAAAAACACACTTTGCGAGTAAACAAGCGTGTAATCCCAGTGCGTACAAGTAGCATTTTTCAAATTAGAATTTATTACTTTCTTTATCTCATTTTACATATCCTATTTTTTGTCGCACAATAAGTGTCACATTACCCTCTTCTCTTTGAAGATAAATATGTAATCTACACCACTTCACAATATTATATACTAAAATCTTAATAACAGGTTTTTTACTTTTTTGAATCACTTTATACTACCTCCGTCCCAAATTTATTTGCAAATTTGACTTTTCTTGGTCAAACAGTTTCGTTTTGTTCACTTAATTAGGATGTCAAATTTTAATTATATTTTAATTTGAAGTTTACAACTTTGAAGAGATTTTAACGTAGTTTATGAATACGTAAATTTTAATTATTAAAAATTGAATTAATTATCCATAGAGAGCATTGACTTTTATTATTGGTTGACAAAAAATGTTGACTTTGCAAAACAAATTGAGACAGAGAGAGTATATAAATAATCAGGGGCGGACCCAGAAAGTTTATCTTGGGAGGGCGGTAACTTAAAAAAAATATTTTTTGGGAGGGCAAAAAATATTTTTTGGTATATATATACACTAAAAAAAATTTGTTGGAGGAGCAACTGCCCCTGGGTCTCTACTACGGTCCGCCCCTGTAAATAATGGTATTAAACTAAAACAAAGACACATAATTAATTTGGTAGGTTGATTAAAAAAAGATTGTTTTCACAAAAACAAAAAATGATTAAAAAAATGTGTTTTTTTACGCACCTCAACTTTCTTCATCCCGGCAGTTGCCTTCTGAACCTCTTCACTCTCCCAGCCGTTAATGATCGCATCTTCCCGCTTAAACCTGTTATTAATCTTCGCAATTTTCGCAGTTTCCCATGCACTAATCTTCGAGTCAACCTCCTCTTTCTTCACCCTCTGCACCGCCACTTCGCCGTTGACCAAGGCCAACGCCGACGACTCCCGACCGGCGGCGGCACGTCTAGGAGACGGCAGAGGATCCGAATCCGGCACGATCGCTAAAGGGTTGGTCTCTTGATACGGCGGCTCTTCTTCCCTAATCCGCTCCAAGTAGTTGCCGCCGGGAACATCACCGTCGTGGGGTCCGATGTCGCCGGCGTTGTCGGGAACAGAGGATCCGGCAAGGACCAGAGCGTTGAACTCTCGGCTCATGCTGGTGAAGTTCCCGCTAGATACAGACGACGATACAGACGACGATGATCTCACGCGGGCGGCGCGGCTGCTCTGCTGCGGCGGCGGCGGCGGCGTTAGAGCGTGGATGTCCCTGATGTATTCCTCCTCCTCTTCATCTTCACCGCCTTCATGGTTGTAGCTTGTGCTTGCTATAGCGAGTTGATTATTCTGCATATTTGGGGGATTTTTGTTTGTTGGCAAAATTGTTTCTTTTGTAGTTGGGACGTGTTTGGGTGGTGTATAATAATGGTGGGAGATGAAACAGAGGAAAAACTGTTAACCTTAATCATTGGCTGTATTCTAAGGTGTGATAACTATCTTTAAAAGTTGGTCCGGGCCGACGGATCCACGCCATCAGCAAATTGGGCTGGTCAACAAGAAAGGTCGGGGTAGGCCAAAAATGAATAAAAAAAGTCTTCCCGTTTAGCATTTTGTGACAGACAGAAAAATATCTTCACAAAAAGTAAACAATAAATCGCGCGCAAACAAGAATGATTGAAAATGAATAAAACTCACTTTCTGTTAGACAAAACATGTTTTGTGTAGACAAAATATGTTTCGTCTGTAACTGGTATAACACGTTCTGTTTGTGACAGACAGAAAAATGTCTTCACAAAAAGTAAACAATAAATCGCGCGCAAACAAGAATGATTGAAAATGAATAAAACTCACTTTCTTCATTATCCATTAATAATATTTAAGGAATTTGTGATATATGCATGTAAGTGTTTGCTTATGTCATACTCATGCATAATAAGTCCCATTAAGATGGAGAGAAGAAGATATCATCTATATTAATGATGATTTTATATTAATGATGATCATTACTATATTGGACGAACAATATACTTTCGTTTAAATTTTCTGTGCGCGAAACGAACATGTTTACGTTTACATGTAATAAAGCGTTGAGGGTGTTTACTTTGTGTTGTTTAGAGAAATTAAATAATCACTTTATATACGAGTATAAAATTGATTACATTGTTTGATTAGATGTATAATTTATTTTTAAGTTACACAAAGATGCCACAGTGCTTTATAAAAAAAAGACAAATTACTTTACATGATATAATGCGAAAGGTTTTAAAAAAGTGTCATAGAAATTAAATTTAATAATCAAGTCAAAAGAAGTTCACCATTTATACCTCTACAATTCACATGCAATGCAATTAAGAGACTAGACGAAGCTAAATGCATTCAAGGTAAAGCCTATGGATAATCAGATAGGAGTATTTAAAACATTTGTTCCATGGGTCATTCTTGGTGTACACAAAATGTGTACATTGCCTTTGTACACATGCAATAGGAGGGGTTTGACATCAAATCATGCTTCTTTTTAAACGAATTGTCTGTGTACACAGATAATTATGTGAATTTTGTGTACACTTTGTGTACAACTCATGTACACTAAGAATTTTTCTTTGTTCCATACATCATCTGGTCTCATGTAGTGATATGTCCTCCTATAGATGCCTTTGTCATACACGTAGTTAGTTAATCGTTCGTGTGTCTCTAGCATGTGGTCTGGAAGGTACCATCTTGAAGAAAAGTTCTGCTTACCTATAAGGTGAGCATATATAGATTGAGATCTTGTTGAGGTAGGACGATTGGATATGTCTCATTGTCCCTATATGTAAGCACTATCCGACCAACTCTGTAGTTTTCGTTCGGTCGATCACAATCCTTCGTGGTTCTGGCGAGTTGGTTGAACTTGAGTGGCTTTCCCTTCATCTTAGTTGGGCTGTATTTATAAATTATAACTAGTTTTCTTCACTCGCGTTGCGCGATTCACTCCATGCCTAATATCATTTTGGTAATGTATATAAATATTTAACTACTTTTTCGTTAGTAGAAAAATGATAACAAGGCTTCCATCATATGCAATACGGGTATATATTTTTTTCCTTGTTGCAGTTAGATTAGGTGATTGACCATAAATTCACATACTTTTAAAGATAAACTTTCTTCTCAAACCTAAAGATTCAATAAAATGAAGGAAAAGAAATAGCATTACTTCATAATCAATCATTCTTTTATCAAGGTAACAGATCGAGATAAGAAACCTCCAACAAACAACATCATGGAAAAATAAGCCAAAGATTATTCCTAGACTAACCTTATAGCTACATTAGACCCAATACCCATATGACTCTGGCACTCTGGCAGGCCAATTGAACACAATCAAAACAATCAGCGACGTATATGCAGAAGAGAAGCTTAATAGAAAAATGGATAAAAAACATGTCCCCTTTAAATGAAACATGAGACTTTATATTGACATTGAAATAGGACAATCATTTTTTATATGAATTATAACATATACTATGTATATATTATCAAAATGATCAAAGACATTTCAAATATTTGTAATGAGTGGATTTTCATCTGTTATGTTTTCACGATTAAACCTCACTTCATTAGAAGCCCAATTTTTACTTTTCGTAACTTTAAACTTCATAAGAAAGATGGGTAGTGATACAAAGTAGAGTTAAGAAAATATTATAGCAATGAAGCTATAAGGCTATAATCTATGTAGAATTTCTAAACTAGGAAATCATGTAAAAGCAAATGAGATGTATTGTGCGTGAGAGAGAGAGAGAGAGAAAAACCATGAATGTTCATTGATTAACTTTGAATCATTCTTACAGAGTATATGAAAATAAGCAAACATACGTATATAGTGCATAACAAGATATTTATATGCTATTAATTATGTGTAACTGAATCAACTGATCTAACAACAAGTCAAACTAGCTAGATGCTTCTAGAGTCTTCTCAGATCCATTTGCTGCAGTGTCAGTTGATGTACACGTGTGCATGTTAGCCTTATGTATGCATGAGTCACGTTTTGAATGCCAAGATCCCCCCTCAAGAGGAGAGTACAGATTCTGTACACTCATCTTGGATAATAATGAATGAAAAGAAGCTTTACCCAAGGGTTTGGTGAGTAAGTCGGGAAGTTGGTGTTGACTAGGAACATAAAGTGTATGAATAGTTCTAGCCTGAATCTATTCTCTAATGAAGTGGCAATCAATTTCCACGTGTTTAGTACGTTCATGATGGATGGGGTTTGCAGTTAATGCCAAGGCATACTTACTATCACAAAAAATAGTAGCCTTAAGGATAGGGAGTCTGAAATCCTTAAACAGTTGTAGCAGGCCAATAACTTCAGTAGCTGAAGATGCCAAAGCCCTATATTCAGCCTCAGCTGAACTTCCTGAAACAGTGTGTTGCTTTTTTTATTTCCATGAGATGAGGGAATCACCCAAAAACATGCAATAGCCTGTAATAGATCTTCTTGTATCAACACAGCTTGCCAAGTCAGAATCTGAAAACCCTGTTAGCTGAAGATTGGAGTTTGAGGGATAAAAAAGTCTTTGCCCTATAGAGCCTTTGAGATACCTAAGAACTCTATGTGCTGCAGCTAAGTGACTCTTACCAGGTTTCTGCATGAATTGAGCTAAGGTGTTGACATCAAAGCTAATATCTGGGCGTGTGTTGGTTGAGTATAGTAACTTTCCAACAAGTGATCTATAAACAGAAGGATCATCTAAGTATTGATCATCATGAACACTTAAACGAAGCTTGCTATCCATAGGGAAAGAAACTAGCTTGCAATCTTGATAGCCATGATGTGATAGAAGGTCTATTGTATATTTCTTTTGGCAGAGGTAGAGACCCTTAGAAGATCTGGCTACTTCCAAGCCCAAAAAGAATTGAACATGACCCAGATCCTTGATGATCTTGAAATAGTCATTCAAAAACTGCTTGATTAAAGTGATTTGGTGCATGTCAGAACTAGCAACAAGGATATCATCTACATATACCAATAAGATTATGGTGAGATTGTCTTGGTGTAAAGTGAATAATGAATAGTCCACTCGTGACTGTATGGAACCCCCCTTTAGAGCACTTGATAGCTTGGAAAACCATTGCCTACTAGCTTGTTTAAGGCCGTATAGACTCTTCATCAAACGACAAACTTTGTTTTCCTGTTTCTGCTCAAAACTTGGGGGAATGGTCATATACACTTCTTCATGGAGATCTCCATGAAGGAATGCATTATTAACATCTAATTGTTCGACAAACCAACCTTTTGAAGCCACCATAGCAAGGAGCACCCTGACTGTGTTAAACTTAGCAACTGGCCGGGAAAAAGTATCAAGAAAATCCAGTCCTTCTATTTGAGTGAAACCCTTGGCCACAAGTCTAGCTTTATACCTTTCTATATTGCCATCAGCATGATGTTTGATCTTATATACCCACTTGCATTTAATATGAGATTTTCCTGGGGGCAAATCAGTAATGAACCAGGTTTCATTTGACTCAAGAGCTGCTATCTCATCATGCATAGCTTTTCTCCAGTTCGGTTCAGAGGAAGCTTGAGAATAGGATGTTGTTTCAATGGTATTGGATATGGCAGAAGAAAAGGCTTGATATGAAGAAGAGAAATGGATAGATGTAATGTAATTCTCAATGGGATGTTTTGACTTACCTGGCTTGTTATTGGAGTGTGAAGTTGTAGCAGTTGCTGGCATGACTTGAGTGGCTGTACATACATAATCTTGGAGATGAGAAGGAGGGTTTCTTTGTCTTGGTGGTCTTGAGGAAGTGTTTGGTATTTGGTTGGATGAAGAAGGAATATGAGTACGAGTATTGTCTTTTGATAATGGAACTGTATCAATTTCAACGTTGGACTGTGATGTGTAGTTTTCTCGCACTTAAAATAGTTGTAGAAAAGTGGTTGAAAGTACGAGTATCGTCTCCACAGGGACAGACAAAAGGGAATTAAAGATTAACTAAATTCAGCGATTAAAAAGAAATAAATAAATTAAAATGCATTTGTGCGAGATTGGTTGATTGAATAAAATAAAACTAATGCTAATGAGCAAGTAAAAAGATTTGGTTTTTCGTTAATTAACGACGAAGGGAACACGAATTGATTCCGGGGTTAACCAGATTTCTGGCAGATCAGGTCTAATTACATGAAATTGATTTAATTGAGCCTAGCTAATCATTACTAAGTTCTTACCGCTCTCGCGGCGTAGAGTACAATAATTTAGGGGACCAGGCTAATCTCTCATGCGACAGGATCCTAAATTATTGCCAAAACGAGCGATCTTACGGCCCCTTAATCGCTATTGATCTCTTAGCGAACGATTAAGTGTGTGTGTGAATGTATCCTAGAACAAATTAGATCTCTCTTAATTCATTCTATATGCAATTGTAATTTTAGTCGCGATTCTAGGTTATAAAAGATATCAGTTAAATTATTCAAACACAAATTAAAC